GGGGAGGCACGGGAGGAGCAGGGGGAGGAGGAGGAGGAGGAGGAGGAGGAGTGGGAGGCCGATTTTTACCAACTCCCCAAGGAGGGAAGGCAAGGGGGAAGTGGTGAGGGGTAAACTTCAGACAAACACTGCGCGCTTTGTTTGTTTTTTTTCCCAACCCCCTGAAAAACCCTAGTCTGTCATCCATTCTGACCCGGCAACAACATCTGTAAGCAATTGCAGGCTTATGGAGAGAGAGAGAGAAAAAAATAAAAAGCGGGGGAAAAAAACAACAATGCAATTACTCCCCTACCAATCAAAACAGAATTAAACTAGAACTTGTCCTCTAATCACTCCCACATGCATACATGTGTAGCCGTCATCCATAACCAAAGACGTTTTTGTCCTACTTGCACAGATATCATCTCAAATCACTGCTGTGTGCATTCGATAGCGGAGATGCTTTCATTTCTGTGACTCTCCGTGGTCCCAGGGACTTAATTGTTAGAGTATGTGCAGCGAGTAAATGTCTGCAACTGCGTATTTGTCGGATTTCTTTGCACAAACGGGATCAGAGGCAACTTTCCTTTTGACGTTTCACTTTTATTCCGTGATTAGAGGAAACTCCGCGGTATCTCTTTTCACAGAAAATGTCCTAGCGTCGTTCTGACGACTTAAGTACAGAGACGGCAATCAAAGAGTGGGTTCATATGGACAGCAGGAGCCCTAGAAGATATGGTTAGCCTGCAGCTAACGTTTGCCAGCGCCAATTAGCGGATAACGCTAACATCTTTGACAGGCTATACATGTTTTGTTTGTTTTGAATTATTGTCTGATGAAGAAGTAAACTATAAACTATCGTGTGTACTTCTTGTTTTTTCTTGACAGAATAACACGTATTGATCTGAGAGAGCGCTAACAAAACCAGTTACGCTAAATCCCAAGAAGGCAGCTATAGAGCAGACCTAATACTGTATTTAGTGACAAAGTATTAGTATTTGAGTATTTGTCCTTGTTTTGCTATTACTGCAGTTATTTGGGAATGTAAAAGAACGGAACCATCTGAGAATTCCCAACATTCAAACAGCGATTTGCGTCCAGACAAGCGTGACAGGGTTTTAACGTTGAGAGTTCTTGGAGATTTTTATCAAAGGCACAAAGTTGACTTGTGGTTGATAAGAACCAATCACAGAGCAATGGTGGGCATCGCCATCATTGCTTCCAAACGTCTGTGTTTTTTGCGAAGTAGTCGGTTTAAACTTGGACCAAGTCAATTTGGAGTCGGCAACTTCTCTGAACCTAAGGTTTTTGGAGGGTTTTTTTTCCCACACATTCGACTTTAAATTTTTTTTATTTTTTATAAATGAATCATGTTAGCACAAGTACAGACAGGACAGAGTGTTAGAGTAAAAGAAACCAGAGCAGAATTTCCAACTGTTGACTCAACACTCTCAGAACAGTTAGTCTAAATAAAACACGCGGCTAGCAGGTGTAGCTAACCTGTAAGTATGCTATTAGCCAGACTGACACAAATGTGTGTTGTTGCTCATGTAAACAAGTTGACGTAACACACACAGAGAGAGAGAGAGATCCTGGGAACGGGCCATAAAAGAGTGAGTCCTTGTTAGCTGCTGTTCCGTCTCCTAACTCCTAACACTTGTCGGCGCAGAGTTCTTGTCGTCAGGTGAGTTAGAGCCGAGGAGAACTCTCTGTAAAAGTGCAGTGAAACGAGTGTCAGGAACCCGGGGGTTTTTCTATGGGAGGTGGGGAGAAAAGTGGGGCATTCCACTGGTTAGGGAAATATTCACAAGTCCAAGCCACTGAAGCGTGTCTGACGGGCCTTTTGTGCTCCACCAGGCAGGCCACTGTTCCAAAGCAGCAATTAAAAGCAGGACCTTTTCACCCATAATCCCTCTGACCTGGACGCCCACACCCAGTCCTGCAGATGTTCCTATCTGCACTGCCTTCGCCTTTGGTGTTGCTCGTTTGCACCCTGTCCCACTAACACAAGACATCATGGAGTGGGAGGAAAAGTCCTGGTGTTTTTTTTTGTTTTGTTTTGTTTTTTTTCCCCTGTTCTTTCAGTCTGTGTGGCCATAGCTCCGAGGACACACATCCAAGAAACGGACAAAACTGAACCTCAACTGGAAAAAAACAAACTTCTACCTCTTAGGGCTTCGTATGCAGAAGCTCTATGGACGAGGCTACGTCGGAAAGTTCTAAGACGAATCAAAAACCATGATTGTTCATGGATATAACACAGCTGTTCCTATCCATATCGACAAAAACATCAAAACATGTTGCAAAGTGTCAATAGTTTTAACAGGTTTCCATTTAATTTTGGTAAATGCTTTCTCGGAATCCAAAGCGAATCATCTGCCTCCATCAAAGCCCCGCCCCTGTATCCAGTACTTTTACAACAACAGTCTCAGTAAGTCTGTCATTCTCACCTGGGCCTTGACTGATCCAATACAGAAGTCACTTTCATGATCAGAATGATTGGCTCGTCACCGATTTATCTGGGACTGAGGGCAGCACCAGGAAGTCTCTGTATAATTCATAAAACCTTTTGACTTTCCATTGTGTACAATTCTACTTCAGGTACTCAAGTACTTCATAGTAAGTACTTAGCAGGTGCTGTAGTCTGTCTTCCAACCAGGAGGTTGAAGGTGGAAACCTAAGCTGTGCTCATACAGTATGTCTACCCTAAGAGTTTCCGATATTTAATCCAGCGTACGTTCTGATGGACTGTGGTCGTCTGGGTGTGATGTCATCATGTGACCCAGAGATCTGGATCCAAACCAGGCTGTAGGACCTGGCTCTGGTCGCTACTGTCGTTAGCCATAATTAATGTTAATTTCCTGTCCGTGTGAAATATCTGGGAGATACCGAAGTGGAGAAGTGAGATGTTTCATCTTCTCTTGTTCTCACTCTAATCCGTGCGCACAGTGAAGCGGGCGATTAAACGGGTTTAAAATACCACAATTCAAACTGTTTGCTCAGAGAAAGAAGAAAAAAAAAACATTCTCGTTATATAAGCACATTAAGCAAATCAATTTAGCATAAATTATATGCCTTTGCCGGCAGAGGCAGGGAGTTGAAAGTCATCTGGCAGTTGTGCACATCAAAGCGGTGACACTAAAATAAACTTTTGCCTTTAAATCTGATCTTTCTTTTTTTTTTTTTCCCTTCATGCTAGCTTAAGAAGTTGCTAACAGCATCAAAAAAAAGGCTGCTATTTAGAGGCTAGGTCACGCTAATGAAACAACAAGGTGTTAGCCTGCGTTTTTCACTGCATTCCGATCAGGGGGGAAAAACTCCCGGCGAAACATTTCTTTATAAACTCTTGAAGTGTCTTCTTAGATTTGGCAACGCTCCACTCACAGACAGGAGGGGTACTGTACTCCTGCTCATTTCATTAAGGTCGGCCGTTCGGTGTCGAGGGGCCCCCTCGGGGGGGGGTGGACTGGCAGTA